AGTGCTCATCAATAAAGTTATACAACAACATAGCCACCCTTGCTTTTTACATATTATTTATGGCTGCTTTCTTATTACCAGGGCAGAGTTGAATAGAAATAACAGTGATGAATGATCTCACAAGAACTAAAATATTTACTACTTGTGCATTTATAGAAATAGTTGCTGAATCCTGTTGTTTTTACTTTAAAGAAATAACAAAAACTGTTACAAGATGTGATTACAAATTCAGTGGATGTAGCTGTCATCCAGCAGAAAGGCAGGCTCTTAAAAACATTACACTCTGCCCTTACCCACATTATTCACCAGGTCTGGGACTGAGTGACTCCTGGCTCTTCCTCATATGAACAATTTCCATGAAAGGTAAATGCTTTGAATTAACTTGGGATATTCAGGCAGAACTGACGACACAACAAAGTCACAAGGAGCGGACTTCTAGAACCACTTCAGAAAGCAAAAACAATAATGGAATGCATAATGTGGAGAGGGAGGTGGAATCTTTTGAAAGGGAATAATGTAATGTGTGTTTACTATTATAACTGCTTAAACATTTACCTTATTTTATCAAACCTTGTATTTAAGCAAGTATGATGAGACAGACTTAAAGATTGTCATATAAATGCTGAACTAACTACACATTACTAATAACTAGAATATGTTAATGAAAATAAAATTTGAGCATTTGCAAAAGTCATGATTTGATAAAATATTCAATTGAATATAAGGAAAATATTGTTAATTTCAAATTAGCATTTTAATTTTTTTGAATATACATTCAGTTACTGTTAGGAAGATGTTTAAAACATAAAGAAAACAATCGGTATTCACAGAACACCTAGAGAAAGCTATTCATCTTGAATTTCAAATTTACTACTGTTTTTGTCACCATAATTTAAAACAAGTAGTTCTTGTTCTACTTTATAAAACAGAGCAAGAACAAATAGTTCTAGCCCATTGCCATAAAGTAGTAAATGATATTACTAAAATTAGTAAACTTTGTTACCATAAACCCAGAAAATAAAATTCAATTTTGATACCATAAAACAATTTTGGATTTTGTTATTCTAAACAATAAAACTATTGTAGTATATAGTTAGTTTTCTTGCTTTACAATTTATAATTTATGTAGGTAAGAATTTTCTTCAAAAGAAGTATTTGCATAAATTAAGTTGAAACAAAATGTTACTAAATAGTGATTTTCAAAGGTGAAAGTAATTTCAATATTGTGAAATAATTCTTAGTATTGCCTCAGTTGTTGCTATGTATTCCCTACCCACACCCTCTACAAAAGTTTTTCTAGTTACTAATTATTTGAAAGTTAACACAAATACAAAATCTCAACTTACCAAACACATACAGGCACATACACACAAATCTTTATATTAATTTGGTTTGGCCTAATTAATAGCCATAAGCATAACATGTTCTTTCATTCTATGATGCCAAAATATACTTTATCCCAGAATATAGGCCATATCAACTACTGCTTTGCAATTTTTAAAGAAGATTATTAATAAGTATCTTACCAGATCGTACCCAGCACATCAAACATAGAAAAATATATATTTTCATTTGGAATCTGAAAAAGTAAAAGAGTACTCAAATTCACCAGAAATAAAATTCCGTAATTCATTAAGGTTTCTCTTTCGTAGAACTGTCCCAGTGTAGCAGGTTACAGGTTACACTGTATAAATGACTTTTGCTCCTCCCTCTGTTTTGAAAAATGTGAGGTTTTTCTCCCATTTGATTTATGGTTGTGAGATAGACCTTGGAAGTCAAAACCTCTGTAATAAGTCACAATGTTTCAACTACACTAGTTGATTTTAAGGGAATGAAAACTCTAATTATATATCTCTGTATTCCTTTTAACCTCAAGATTTCAGAAGTGGTCTGAAAGAATATATCTGTGGAAAACCTACAAAATATGCCTTGTTCAAAAATTCCAGAAATGGAAAAATGCAAAAAAAAAAATTGTGGCTTATGCTCATTTTGATTACAAAATAAGTGGTCTTTATATACCACAATCAATAATGAAATTCAGACCCATGAAGCTGTCAAGTGTAATTACAGGGTTTTTGTATGTATGCAGTCTACATCCAAAACACAGATGCTATTTTAAAATTTAAAATTCTAGTGTAGATACTCTTGAGGCTAACATTTGAAAATAAAAGTTCTTTTTTGCTTTTACATGAGAACAATTTAAAAATATTATAGGATTTATATTTCATGTTATTTTTCTCCCAACAATGGATTTTAAAGGTAATTATAGCAGTTGAATATTGTTTGTTAAGAAGGGGAGTTATTTTTATCAGAACATAGTTGGCATAACCTTTAATTTAATTAACCGATGTGTCAAAAGTCTTATTCATCTTGTCCTTTCACTCAGCTCTTAACATCCAACAGACTTTATTCCAGAAATCAAAAGTCCTCGCATGTCACTATGGTGCATGCGGACACAAACATATTAGGGCAAGAATATTCATTATCTTAGCCAAAAAATAAGGAAAACATATTATATAACAATGAGAGATTGGTTTAATTATACACATAATGTGGGCAAAAGTTAATGCAGATAGATAAATATTTATTGTTATAGAAAACTTAAAAATTTAGAGGAGAAAAAGCAAGTTAAAAATGGCATCTAAAATATGGTTTCTAAATTTTATTACACATATACCTGCCTAGGTCAAAATCCAGGAGGGTATTCCTCCAAAATGATTTTCTCTACATGCTTGATTATTGGTACATTTTATTTTCTTATTTATGACTTTAAATTTTTACAATATTGCTTAACAATAACCTCACCTGCAACACAGATTTTTAAAAAATGCTACCATTATTTTTGGAAAATATGGTTAGAAAAATCAGACTAAATATAAAACGAGGTTTTCAAAAGTGAAGATTACCAAGTGCGGTGTGCACACTTGTCATCTTGCACTCTGGGAAGCTGAGGCAGGAGCATCAAAAGTTTGATTATAGATTTTGTAAATTAGTGACTCGGCCTCAAAATGAAAAAGAAAAAAGAAAAGAAAAGAATGAAAGAGGAAATGAAAAGGTAAAAGGATTGTACTACAAATCTCAGTGAAGGACCTGTGTTCAATCTCCAGTACTGGGGAAAAACAGGTGAAAATAAAATGCATACTTATTTAAAAAAAAAAAAAACATACCTTGATCTTAGCAGTGATTTGCATTGACACTGACTCGCCAAGTTCCTCTACCCACTCATTCATTTATTTATTCGCGTATTCAACTCTTATTAACTACCTGCTGTTTCCAGGCAGGGGCTATTGGCGATACAAAGTAGAGATGTTCATTTATTCAAAAAGTATTATCTAAGGTATTTATTATTATACATTCAAAAATTTATTCCACATACACAGACGTGTGAGGGATTATCCTAGTACTGAAACATATTTACCCAAACTTGGTTTACAGAAAAAAAGACTTTACAGAAGTATATCTATGTAATTGTGGTACAACACAAGTAGAGCATCCAGTTAATCTACACTGCAGTTTAGAACATCTTTGCAAAATATGCTGCACAGGCTGCACTATAAAATACAGCAAGTATTATCTAGGTAAAGAAGAGAGACGAGGGTGCGCTATTTATATACAGGAGCATATGTATGTATGCTTATGTTTTATTTTATAAGTTTATACAGGTGATATAAGATACCTTAACATGTGTGAAATAAGGTTATATTTTGAAGAGAATTCCATCCAGCTGACCCACTGAACACTTACATATGCTCTAGTAAAATGAGGATTATTTTTAGCTAATACTAGTTTAATTGCCCTGCATATATCAATATGAGTTAGGAAATACAGTACATTTACATTAAAAATGGTCTACTGAGAGCAAGTTGGAACAAGCAGCTAAATGAATTGGCTAAATGTAAGCTTATAGCACTGAACAAATACTTTAGATTTGTAAGCAACATAAAATTATATGGTGACAACACAAAAACCATGAACATTTTTAGAAAACAAATGGTGCAAATCTCTATGTAAAAATATAATAATCATTAACTACTGGAAAATACACATTTACAACATTCAAAAACCCTACATAAACAACAATATTTTTTATAATGAGACCTGAAAACATAACTCTCACACAAGCAATGCGTGAGGGACAATTAAGATGAAATATGATGGCTTGGATAGAACCTATGGAATAAATAAACACAAGTCAGGTGCAGTGGTGCATGCCAGTGATCCCAGCACTTGGGAGGCTGAGCCAGGAGGATTGCTGAGAGTTGGAAGGGCAGCCTGCACTACAAAGCGAGTTGCAGCCCTGTCTGAACTACATACTAATGAATATCAAGTGAAGATAAATGCTAATGTTACTTGTCTGAAAAAGAGAAGAAAAAGAGCAAGAAGAAGGAGGAGGAAGAGGAGGTGGAAGAAAAGGAGGAGGAGAAAGAAAAGAAGAAAAGAGAAAAAGACTTCTGACCACGAGATGCTGCCATATCCATTTACTTGGTTGACATATAGTTTATTTTTTTTTTACAGTGCACCAGTTTCCTTAGCTTCCTCCTATCTTACAAGAAATTGTATTTTACCTTTTTACCATAAAATATTTTTTTAGAAAATGATAGAGACAAAAAATAAAAACAGAAATAGGATTTAAAGGCTAATAAATATCATGTGAAAATAAATGCTAATGTTACTCATACTAAATTGCATGGGCAAGAAGTCTGTTTCTCCCACAATGCAGATTTCTCTATGGGCTTGTTTCCCAAGAACTGAAGACAGGACCTTACAGGAGCAGTAAGAAAATGTCCCAGTACATTATACTCATTAGCTTAGTCTAATTCATTCCTCAAGAAACATAACCTAAATTCAACAGAGAAGTTCTTCCTTCAAAGCCATAAAATAAGTACAGTGTTAAGTGAAAACTAATGTCCTAAAATATGCCTTTCTTTAGAAAACAAGATTTTTTTCACATCTATCAGCACGACAAAAAATACTCTGTTCAATTCAAAATCCACCCTTACCATTACCCCAACCCAGCACCAAATGAGGTTGTCACTACTGTTTTATGCACAGGATGCTTTGAAGGTTCTATGTCAACATCTTCCAAGGCTTCCTTGCTACAGGCTGTTTTCTCAAGTTCCCCAGACCCACCTAAGGTTTTCGGTGTCATTTTCAAGGACTTCCGCTGGGAGCACCTTCTGACTACACAAGCCATACTGTCAGGGCCCTGCGGTACCAACTTTCCCTCTCCCATCTCGCCTTCAGTCCGGTGGGGGGCGGAGCCCAGCGCGGTGGGCGGGCCCAG